TGCACTGATGGTGTGGCCTGAGAGGTTAATCATGTACAAGGCACAGAGGAAGTTAGCAGGGCTGACTCACCAGGGTCTGAACATGGTGGTGTTCATGCACGTAAACTCCTCCACTGGCCTTCACTTGTCACCATTTATCAAACTCCTTTGTACAGGGTGAATAAAAGGACTGTCTTGGCAACTCTGGTGACTTCAGAAGGACAGTTAGAAGACCTTAAGTTCCTCCTTTTTCCCCCAAAAGTCTGAGACAAAACCCACCAACTTATGAATTGTAGCTTGGTTTCAGTGGTGGAGTTACAGAGGATTCTATTTTGCTCTCTTGCTTTCTTGTAACATTGGTAAAATAATAAAGATGATCCCCCTTTTTTAAAGGGGAAAAATCTGGAACCTAGAAAGAATGAATTGCTGGCAGCTTCTAACCTTTACAGAGCCTTTGCAAGGATCAAGTTCTTCCATTCCACATGGCTTCATGTAATCCTCACAAAACCTGACGTATGGATGTTCTCTTTCTCTCTCACGTGAGGAAGCTGATGATCTCAGAGCTGTGGAGTGCGCTAAGGCCACATGGAGTGCGAAGGGCTCAGCTTGACTCCCCCCAGCCTGACATCATTACCCCAAAGGCCGGCAGAGCCTGTTCCTTGGCAACGGCTCAGATATGAGCGCCCTGTGTTGCCCCCCGGGGCCATGACTCTGCCTCCTTTTGTTGCTCTGTGTGCCAGAACCCTCCGTGGACCGCATCTTGCTCCAGGGAATGAGAGCATAGCCTGGTGTGTTGCAGGGGGAAAATGGAGGAGGGGGCAATCGGGATGACATTGCCGGGATATCAGAGAGGCTAGAGGAGGAAAACTGGAAAAGCCCACACTGGGAAGGCCAGGCCAAACCCCAGTACTTACAAAATGCTCTTGGAAACATGCCTCAGTTGCCAACCATGATGTTTCTTGTTTTTTAAAAATTTTTATTTAAATTCAATTTGGTTAGCATACACTGTGTAATTACTTTCAGGGGTAGAATTTAGTGATTCATCAGTTGCATATAATACCCTGGGCTCATTCCATGAAGTGTCCTTCTTAATGCCCATCACCCTTGTTGCCCCATCCCCCCACGCACCTCCTCCCCAGAAACCCTCAGTTTGTTTCCTAGAGTTAAGAATCTTTTATATTTTGCCTCCTTCTCTGTTTTTGCCTTATTTTATTTTTCCTTCCCTTCCCCTCTGTTCATCTCTTTGGTTTCTTAAATTCCACATATGAGTGAAATTCTATGGTATTTATCTTCCTCTGACTGACTTATTTCACTTAGCATAATACCCTCTAGTTCCATCCACATTGTTGCAAATGGCAAGATTTCATTCTTTTTGATGGCTGAGTAATATTCCGTGTGTGTGTGTGTGTGTGTGTGTGTGTGCGCGCACGCGCACATGCATTCATCTTTATCCATTCATCTGTCGATGGACATCTGGACTCTTTCCATAGTTTGGTTATTGTGGACATTGCTGCTAAAAACATTAGGGTGCACGTGCCCCTTTGAATCACTATGTTTGTATCCTTTGGATAAATACCTACCAGTGGGATTGCTGGGTCCTAGGGTAGTTCTATTTTTAACTTTTTTTTTTTTTTTTAAAGATTTTGTTTATTTATTTGACAGAAAGAGACACAGCGAAAGAGGGAACACAAGCAGGGGGAGTGGGAGAGGGAGAAGCAGGCCTCCCGTGGAGCAGGGAGCCCGATGCGGGGCTCGATCCCAGGACCCTGGGATCATGACCTGAGCCGAAGGCAGATGCTTAACGACTGAGCCACCCAGGCGTGACCTATTGTTAACTTTCTGAGGAACCTCCATACTGTTTTCCAGTGTGGCTGCACCAGTTTGCATTCCCATTAACAATGTAAGAGGGTTCCCCTTTACCTCCTCACCAACATTTGTTGTTTCTTGAGTTGTTAATTTTAGCCATTCTGACTGGTGTGAGGTGGTATCTCACTGTGGTTTTGATTTGTATTTCCCTGATGCCGAGTGATGTTGAGCATTTTTCATGTGTCTGTTGGCCATTTGTATGTCTTCTTTGGAAAAATGTCTGTTCATATCTTCTATCCATTTCTTGAGTGGATTTTTTGTTTGTTGGGTGTTGAGTTTGATAAGTTCTTTTTATTATGTTCAATTAGCCAACATATAGTACATCATTAGTTTTTGATATAGTGCTCAAAGATTCATTAGTTGCATATAACACCCAGTTCTTTAGAGATTTTGGATACTAGCCCTTTATCTGATAAGACATTTGTGAATATCTTCTCCCATTCCATAAGTTGCCTTTTAGTTTTGTTGACTGTCTCCTTTGCTGTCCAAAAGCTTTTTATCCTGATGAAGTTCTAATGGTTCATTTTTGCTTTTGTTTCCCTTGCCTTTGGAGACGTGTCTAGCAAGAAGTTGCTGTGGCCGAGGTCAAAGAGGTTGCTGCCTGTGTTCTCTTCTAGGATTTTGATGGATTCCTGTCTCACATTTAGTTCTTTCATCCATTTTGAGTTTACTTTTGTGTACGATGTAGGAAAGTGATCCAGTTTTATTCTTCTGCATGTGACTGTCCAATTTTCCCAACACCATTTGTTGAAGAGACTGTCTTTTTTCCCTTGGATATTCTTTCCTGCTTTGTCGAAAATTAGTTGACCATTAGAGTTGAGGGTCCATTTCTGGGCTCTCTATTCTGTTCCATTGATCTATGTGTCTGCTTTTGTGCCAGTACCATGCTGTCTTGATGAATACAGCTTTGTAATAGAGCTTGAAGTCTGGAATTGTGATGCTTCCAGCTCTGGTTTTCTTTTTCAACATTAATTTGGCTATTCGGGGTCTTTCTGGTTCCACGCAAATTTTAGAATTGTTTGTACCAGCTCTATAAAAAATGCTAGTGGTATTTTGATAGGGACTGCATTGAATGTGTAGATTGCTTTGGGTAGCATAGACATTTTAACAATATTTATTCTTCCAATCCATGAGCATGGAATGCTTTTCCATTTCTTTTGATCAGAGTATAGATCCTTTACCTTTTTGGTTAGGTTTATTCCTAGGTATCTTATGGTTTTTGGTGCAATTGTAAATGGGATCAACTCCTTTATTTCTCTTTCTTCTGCTTCATTGTTAGTGTATAGAAATGCAGCAGACTTTTATGTATTGATTCTATATCCTGTGACTTTGCTGAATTCCTGTATCAGCTCTAGCAATTTTTTGGTGGAGTCTTTTGGGTTTTCTACTATAGAGTATCATGTCATCTGCAAAGAGTGAGAGTTTGAATTCATCTGATTTGGATGCCTTTTATTTCTTTTTGTGTCTAACTGCTGAGGCTAGAACTTCCAGTACTATGTTGAAAAACAGTGGTGAGAGTGGACATCCCTGTTGTGTTCCTGACCTTAGGGGAAAAGCTCTCAGTTTTTCCCTGTGGAGGATGATATTCGCTGTGGATCTTTTGTATATGGCTTCTATGATATTGAGGTATGTTCTCTCTATTTCTACATTATGGAGGGTTTTTATCAAGAAAGGATGCTGTAGGGGCGCCTGGGTGGCTCAGTCGTTAAGCGTCTGCCTTCGGCTCAGGTCACGATCTCAGGGTCCTGGGATTGAGCCCCGCATCGGGCTCCCTGCTCGGCAGGAAGCCTGCTTCTCCCTCCCCCACTCCCCCCTGCTTGTGTTCCCTCTCTCGCTGTGTCTCTCTCTGTCAAATAAATAAATAAAATCTTTAAAAAAAAAAAAAAAAGAAAGGATGCTGTATTTTGTCAAATGGTTTTTCTGCATCTATTGAGAGGATCATATGGTTCTTGTCCTTTCTTTTATTAATGTGGCATATTACATTGATTTGTAGATGTTGAAACACCTCTGCAGCCCAGAAATAAATCCCACTTGGTCCTGGTGAATAATCCTTTTTTTTTTTTAAAGATTTTATTTATTTATTTGAGACAGAGAGAATGAGAGAGAGAGAGCACATGAGAGGGGGGAGGGTCAGAGGCAGAAGCAGGCACCCTGCCGAGCAGGGAGCCCGATGCGGGACTCGATCCAGGGACTCCAGGATCATGACCTGAGCCGAAGGCAGTCGCTTAACCAACTGAGCCACCCAGGTGCCCGGTGAATAATCCTTTTAATGTACTCTTGGATCCTATTAGCTAGTATCTTGGTGAGAATTTTTTTTTTTTTTAAAGATTTTATTTATTTATTTGACAGAGAGAGACACAGCGAGAGAGGGAACACAAGCAGGGGGAGCGGGAGAGGGAGCAGCAGGCTTCCCGCGGAGCAGGGAGCCTGATGTGGGACTCAATCCCAGGACCCTGGGATCATGACCTGAGCTGAAGGCAGTTGCTTAACCAACTGAGCCACCCAGGCACCCCTTGGTGAGAATTTTTGCATCCATGTTCATCAGGGATATTGGTCTGGAATTCTCCTTTTTTTGTGGGGTGCGTGTCTGGTTTTGGGGATCAAGGTAATGCCGGCCTCATAGAATGAGTTTGGAAGTTTTCCTTCCATTTCTATTTTTTTATCAGTTTCAGAAGAAAACTTATTAATTCTTCTTTAAATGTTTGTAGAATTCCCCCTGGGAAGCAAACAAACTCTTGTTTGTTGGGAGATTTTTGATTACTGGTTCAATTTCTTCACTGGTTATGGGTCTGTTCAGGTTTTCTACTTCTTCCTGTTTCAGCTTTGGTAGTTTATATGTTTCTAGGAATTTATCCATTTCTTCCAGATTGCCTAATTTGTTTGCATATAATTGCTTATAATACTCTCTTATAATTATTTGTATTTCTTTGGTGTTGGTTGTGATCTCTCCTCTTTCATTCATGATTTTATTTATTTGGGTTCTTTCTCTTTTCTTTTTGATAAGTTTGGCTAGGGGGTTATCAATCTTGTTAATTCTTTCAAAGAAGCAGCTCCTAGTTTTGTTGATCTATTCTACTGTTTTTTGATTTTGATATCATTGTTTTCTATCATTGTTTTCTGCACTAATCTTTATTATTTCTCTTCTCTTCCTGGATTTAGGCTTTATTTGATGTTCTTTTTCCAGCTCCTTTAGGTGTACGTTTAAGTTGTGCCGTATTTCTTATGTTCTTGTGTCTGGTTCTGTAGAAGAAAAATATTCTCAAATATTCTCTGGTGAAGTTTTGTCTTAGAAATATAATACTAATTTTCCATTACTTCCCTCATTAAAACTAGACCATGGAGCTAAGTTTTCTTGTCATAGGGAAAGCAAAACTTCAACAAACCAGGTGACAACAAAGAATCATACTTATGCTTCTGCACTGCACTGTAGAGCCATGAAAGGTGTGAAGTTTCATTGTAAAGTCCAGCCTCTTAAGAGAGAAATGGTTGCCTAACTGCAAAATTTACTGAGTAATCACTAAGTGGCATGTAATGTCTTTAGAGTTTGTATGGGTTCTCTATTTTCATGTCACTATTATTGTTCCAGTATTAAAGATAAGGAAGCTGATGCTCAGAGAGAGATTGATTAATTTATCTGAGGTCACTCAACTAAGAAGTGGTAGGGCTAGGATTTGAGTCTAGGTATGTGGCTCTGGGCCCCTACTTCATCACTCTGTACCTTGTCTCATATGTTGGGTATTGTGCTCAGGGCAGGGAATATAGCAGAGAACAAGACCATTGAGAAGGTCACTGGTTGAATCTCTTGCCTTGTGGGTCTTTGTACCGACTTTGCAAGGCCGGAATAAAGAGTCCTCATCTTATGCATGAGAAAGAAAGGCAAACATGGGTAATTGTCTTGCTCAAGGTTGTAGAAAGACATAGCTGAAAGATAGAATTAAAAACCAGGTGTCTCATAGCTGTCTAATGCCCTTTCTCTGCTCTGGGAGCACTTCCATTCAGCAGATATGGGGCCAGTGCTAATGCCTCGGCAGTTAACCAAAGCTTTGCTCAGGCTGCAGGATCTCCAGAGCCCAGGAACACTGGGGGCTAAAGGATGATATTTGGTGAAAGAGGGAAAGCAAAAACAAAGAAAACAGATTGGCTTTGGGATTTTGATGAGACATACAGTCCCAGATATAATGTTCCAGGCTTCAGGATAAAGGTGGATTCTGGGACAGGGCAGGGTCTGTGGATGGAGGGGTTTGTGGGTGTGTTCAGAGAGGCATATTTAGAGATTCACAGATGTGGTGATGAGAAGGATTATGTAGCTTGGGAATGGAGGAAGGCTCTTTTATTCAGGGCATTAAAGAAAATTATTCTTGGCAAAGAGAAGGAGAATGTTAGAAAAATAGACCCACTGTAGGGGCTGGTGAGAGACTCTTCTGTTGAGCTCCCCAAGGCAGCTGGGTCAGAATTGGGCACGAGAAGCCCCTTACCTGTCATGATTTATATTGTCGTTTAATGTACAGACTATCCCACAGAAGGAAGAACAGCACTGAAGTCCGTTTTGGCAATCTTCCTGCAATGTACAGAATTGAGTACAGTTTCCAGGATCCGATCTGCAGGGTGGGGGTTCCAAGATATTCCCTGGAACACAGAACAGGAAAGAGAAGGGCCTAAACAACAGGCTGGAGTAGCATTCAGAACTCCCAAAGCCCAGGTAACTGCCAGAAAACCAGCCACACTGATCTTCCTCCTGTGGTCATAGGGAGGTGGAATCAGATTTTGTCCTTAGTTGCTGCCTTTCTCTGAGTTCTTGGCAGGGAAAACCAAGGCTTGGGTATCGGGATTGGAGACAGAGGTCAGCAGCACCCTGCACCCATTGGTGATTCACCATCCTTGCAGATCAAATACCTCATAGACTGTAGTTGGGTCCAGTTCAAGGGAATGAACAGTGTGTAGTGAGCAAGAGAGGGGTGTGTAGGTGCATTTGCACGGACTCATTGTGTAGTTCCAAGCAAGTTGTACAACTTCTTACTAACAACATAGTTTATCCTAGGATCGACCTAACATGTACTACTTGTGTGTAGGAAGAATGAGGGGGAAGGAAGATTTTGGGAAAGGATGAAGACCACACAGTACTGAAGATACTGGCATCAGAATATTAGAACCCAAATCACAAATTATTTCATGGGGTTGAGGGTGGGTATGTTGGAATGGGGTGCAAAGATTGGTTTCTCTTTCTTCCTGGGTCTCTCTCTCTCTTTTAAAGATTTTATTTATTTATTTGTCAGGGGAGGGGGGAGAGAGAGAGAGCGCACAAGCAGGGGAAGCAGCAGGCAGAGGGAAAAGCAGGCTCTCTGCCGATCAAGGAGCCTTATGCGGGGTTCCATCCCAGGACCCTGGGATCATGACCTGAGCTGAAGGCAGATGCTTAACAGACTGAGCCACCCAGGCATCCCCCCAGGTCTCTTCTGATAAGGAAGCCAGAGCACCAGGATGCCCCCACTTTCTATTATTAGAGAAGAATAAGCATCTTCATGCTAACATTTTATTTCCCCCATCCCTCAGTACTCGGGTCCAAGTCAAGACCACCTCCACCAGGAGATTCTGCTGCAGGGCTCCAACTCAAAACCTTCTCTCTGTTCCTGAACTCCAAGGCATTAAGGATAGGTACAATTAGCCCCTTTATCAAAGCCCAGCCAGGCCCTAATTTTTGTACCTTGTGACTTGTCCTTTCTTTGGGGCAAATGCCACAGGTGGAACATTCTATAAGCCCTGTTGACTTATTGCTTTGCAAGTATTTGCAATTAGAAGGCGGTCCATAGGACATCATACTGACCTGGAGGGAACAAGTGATGAATGAAGCTGGGGCTGTAGTTGTAACAGCAGGTAACACCAGAGAAAAAAGCCAAGGCCCAAGCTGTTGACAATTTAGCAGAGACCAGTATGCAGCACTCACCCTAATCTCCCAGTCATCCCGTGGGTCACTAGATCCGTGCAAGAAATTCGAACTGATCCCCACTTTGGGGGGGAGCTTGGGGATCAATGGAACAGTGTGAGGAAGGAGTCTGTGAGCCAAGGATCTCAGAGAGATGGACCGTCTCAAGTTTTGTGTCCTTTTCTGGGTATGTGATCCCAGTCTTACTTACAAAGACTTACCAGTCTTTCAGGAGCCCTTTTTGTGTTTCTCTTCAAATTTTAGCCCTTGGTTCTCCAAATTAATTCTGCCCTCATTCTCTTGCATCTAGCTTGACCTCCCTCAGTCTTACAAATCTGTGTGCCTTCTCTGAGACCCCTAAAACAGGAACTTGCCTCCCTAGACACCTGAAATAGTACAAGCTTTCCTCTTCTGAGCCCTCAGTATTCTGAGGATGCTCTCCCCATAGAAGAATGCAGGTACGATGGATAAGAGTTCATTTCCCATTTGGCATTGGTTAAGGTCAACGTAACCATGGTCAGCACTCTTGTTAGGTTGAACTGGGCTGTGGTGGCTGCTGAGATGGGCTTTGTACTTTGTCACTGATGCTGGTCACTGGTAATTGTGCAGGTACCTCTGAATGTTTAAATTGTAAGGAATACATGGTAAGACTTTCTTTCCTTCTCTCCCAAACATTCTCCAAGGCAGAGATTATGTAGGTTCCAGCTTGAGTTCTACCAACTTAATTTTCCTCTCTGTTTTAAAAAAAGATTTATTTATTTATTTGGGGGGTGGTAAGAAGCAGAAGGAGAGAGAATCTCAAGCAAACTCCTTGCTGACCACAGAGCCCTATGCGGGGCTCAATCTCATGGGGAGATCACAGCCTGAGCCGAAACCAAGAGTCAGACACTTAACCAACTGAGCCACCCAGCACCCCTCCTCTCTGTTTTATTGCTTGAAAAGTTGGCGCAAGCATCCGTGAAGAAACTAGGGCAGCAAAAATACACTGGATGATGAGGCTGATAACATTTACAGCAGTTAATTCTTATGGAGCGTTTATCATGGTCCATTAAGAGTGCTCTGTGTGTACATGCATTATCTCAGTTTCTCCTCCCAACTGTCCCAGTGTCATTATATCCATTGCAAAGATAAAATCTGAGGCCCAGACACTTTGTCCAGAACCATGCAGGAAGCACACAGCAGGGATTCACACCTGGATTTTACTGACAATAAAACTTGGACCCTTGAACATGATACTGTATTTTTTCACAATGTTTATCCTCAGCCCTCAGATCCTCTCATCTCTATAGAAGCTGCTCCCCGCCCCCCACCTCGCCAGCGCCGGAGCCCAGACCCAGCACCTACTCATCAAATGTTCCTTGGGGCTCCCAGGCACCTGCTGTGGTGTTAAGTGAATCAATAGAAGAAGCTGCAGAGACAGCACAGGCTTCATGCTGTTGGCAGGATGATGGGTGAGTCCTGGCTGAGGACTGCTGGGTTTGACCAGGCACAGCTCAGAGGAGGAGAGAGGGAAGGAGGGCCAAGTAAAGGCATGCTGTGACCAGCCTTGCACTGTGTATTCCAATGACAGATATCCAAGTACCTCCCAACCACGCCCACCCCAGGACCAGGTAGTGTTTTCAAATCTACACCCCTTTCATCCCCTAATCTTGTCCTTGTTATGTCTTTCCTCTCTCTAGGTCTTGTTAAGGTCCTTTCACAAAGGGCACGTACTGCATGGAGCACTGGGTGTTATACACAAACAATGAATCATGGATCACCACATCAAAAACTAATGATGTATTGTATGGTGACTAATATAACATAAAAAAAAAAAGCCCTAAAAAAATAATAATTTTCCCATGTAGAGTTCTGGCATGTCTTTGTTATATTTATTCCTAGAGGCTTGGCCTTTTAAAGTAAAATTGTAAGGAGTGGGTAACTTTTTAGTTATTTCTTTCTGTTTGTTGCTATTGCAGAGAAATAACTTTTATGTATTGATCTGTTACTAGCTACCTTGCTAAATTCTCCCACCGTTCATTTTAATTTCTTGGAGTGTTCCTTGTAGTGTTCTGGGTAGTCAATCATCATCTGCAAATTATGACAATTGTATATTTTCTCTTCAAACTTTATGCCATTTTAAATGCCTCCTTGTGTAGGCCAGGACCTCCATACATTACTGTATAGAAGTAAGGATGTGCATATTCTTGTCTGATACCTGATTTAAAATGAAAGCTTCTCAAATGTCCCCTTTTAGGATAGGGTCTGTTTTAGGTTTCTCATAAACATCTTTTATCAAGTTTAGAAAGTTCTCTTTAATTCCTGACAACAAGAAAATTTTCCTTAATTTATGTGAAATTATATTTACCGCTTTTTTCTGTTGATATGTTGAATTACATTTCAGATTTCCTTTTTTTTTAAGTTTTATTTATTTATGAGGGAGAGGGAGAGAGGGGGAGAGAGAATGCACAAGTGGGAGGGGCAGAGGGGGAGAGAGAGAGAGAGAAAATCCCAAGCAGACTCTGTGCTGAGCTCAGAGCCCGATGCGGGGCTTGACCCCATGACCCTGAGATCACCACCCAAACCAAAACCAAGACTCCGTCGCTCAACTGACTGCACTACCCAGACACTCCCATTTCAGATTTTCTAACATTAAACCATTCTTGCATTTCTCCCATAATCTAATGTGATTATTGGATATTATCATTTTCATATCATTTGGTTCAGTTTGCTATTTTTAAGGAATTTTACATCTATGTTCGTAAGAGAGCTGGGCCTGTAACCTTCCTTTCTCACACTGTCCTTGACTGGTTTTATAGTAAGTTTGCACTGACCTCATAGAAAGTGCTGAATAGCAGCCCCTATTTATCAAATCTGTGGAAAGTTTTGTGTAAGTTACTTGAATCCTTAATTTCTTTTTTTTCCTTCTTGCACAAATATGCTCACTTGCACCTTGTTTTCACTTAACAATATATCCTGCAAATTACCCTAAGGCAGTTCATAATAATTTCCCCCTTTTTTAGAACTGCAGTCTACACCACTATGTGCACACAAACTTAGTCATTCAGTCAATCTCCTTTAGAGGGACATTTATGTATTTTCCAAGATTTTGCTTTTACAAATATGCTTCAGTGAACAGCCATGTGCATATTTTCTGTATTGTTGGAGGTATAACATCCAGGTAAATTTCTGCAGGTGTAATTGTTGCTTAAAAGGGTAGATTGATACATAGTTTTCTTGGATATCACTAAATTCTACTCCATAAAATTTATACTATTTTGTACTGCCACCAACCATGTGAGCATGGGTGTTTCCCACAACGGAATGTATGGTTGTATTTTTTAATTTTTGCCAAACTAAGTGAGAAATGTTATCTCTGCAGTTGCTGATGTTCATTCACGTTGTAGTATATTTCAGTACTTCATTGCTTTTTATATCTCAATAATAATCTATTGCATGTATATACCACAATTTGCTTATGCATTCATCTGTTGATGGACATTTGGGTTGTTTCCACCCTTTGGTGATTGCAAAGAGTGCAGTGTGAACGTTTGTGTACAAGTATTTTTTTAGTACCTATTTTCAATCCTTTTGGGTATATATCTAGCAGTGGAATTGATGGCTCATATGTTTAACTTTTGAGGAAATTTCAACTGCTCCCATGGTTGTTGGGCTATTCAACATTTTTTTTTTATTACTAGTGCATAAGAGTTCCAATTTCTCCACTTCCTTGCCAACTCTTACTATTTTCATTTTTTTGGATTATAGCCCTCCATGTGATTGTGAAGTAGTATCTAATTGTGGTTCTGATTTGCATTTCCCTAATGATGTTGAGAATCTTTTCATATGCTTGCTGTATCTTCACTGGAGAAGTGTCTATTCAAGTCCTTTGAAATTTTATAACTGGGCTGTTTATCTTTCTTGAATTGTAAGAGTTCTTTTTATATATTAGCTATGAGACCTTTATCAAACATATAATTTTCAAGTATTTTTCCCACTTTATGTGTTGTTTTTTTCACTTTTTGATAGAGTCTTTTGATGCACAAGTGTTATTAGCTTTGATGAAGTCCAATTTATCTATTTTGTTGATGTTATTGCCATGCTTTTGATGCCATTTCTAATGATCCATTGCCTAATCCAAGGTCATGATGATTTACTTCTACACTTTCATCTTGGAATTTTATAGCTCTCATATTTAAATCATTGACCAACCTTGAATTAATTTTTGTATATGATGTGAGATAGGGATCCAATTTTATTATTTTCCATGTGAATATCAAGAGTCCCCATACCATTTGTTGATGTGACTATTCTTAATTTTGATACCCTGTTAAAAATCATTGGCCATAGATGTGTGGGTTTATTTCTGGACTCTGAATTATATTTATCAATCTATATGTCTGTCCTTATGCCAGTACCACACTATTTTGATTATTGTAGCTTTGTAGTAAGTTTTGAAATTGAGAAATGTGAGTCCTCCAATTTGTAGTACTTTATTAATATTGTTTTGTGTGCATAGCATACCCGTCGAAATTCCATATGAATTTGAGGATTGGCTTCTTCATGTCTGAAAGGAAAAAAAGCCATTGAAATTTTATTTGGGATTACATTGTGTTGTCATTTTAATGTCCTAGATCTTCCAATCCACAAATATGGAATGTCTTTTAATTTATTTAGGTCTTCCTTAATGTCTTCCAGCAATGTTTTGTATTTTTTGGTGCACAAGTTTTTCACCTTCATGGTTAAACTTATTCCTAGGTATTTTATCCTTTTATATCTTATTGGAAGTTGAATTGTTTTCTTAATTTTGTTTCTGGATTGCTAATTGCTGGTGTATAGAAACACAGTCGATATTTGTGTCTTATTTTTGTACTTTGCAACTTTGCTGAATTTATTAGTTCTACTAATTTTTTGTGTGTGGATTCTTCCCCAATTTCTCTATGTAGGATCATGTCATTTGCAAATAGACAGAGTTTTATTTCTTCCTTTCCAACTTAGATGGCTTTTTTTCTTGCTTAATTGCTTTGGCTAAAACTTCCAGTACAATATTGACTAGCAGTAATCAAAGCTGAATTTTCATCTTATTCCTGATCTGGGGAGGAAAGCTTTCACTCTTTCACCATTGAATATGATGATAGTTGTGTATTTTTCATAGATACCTTTAATTATGGTATCTATGGGGAAGTTCCTTCTATTCCTAGTTTTGTGAATGTGGTGCGTTTTGTAAAATGCCTTTTCTGTTTCAGTTGAGATGATCATGTGATTTTTATCCCTTCATTTTTTTTTTTTTTGACAGGGAGAGAGACAGCGAAAGAGGGAACACAAGCAGGAGGAGTGGGAGAGGGAGAAGCAGGCTCCCCACTGAGCCGGGAGCCTGATGTGGGGCTCGATCCCAGGACCCTGGGATCATGCCCTTTCATTCTATTAGTGAGTTTTATTACATATCACTGCAACTATAAGTACAAGTATTGCAGATTTTTTTTATTATTATGTTATCTAATCACCATACATTACATCATTAGTTTTTGATGTAGTGTTCCATGATTCATTATTTGCATATAACACCCAGTGCTCCATGCAGAACGTGCCCTCTTTAATACCCATCACCAGGCTAACCCATCCTCCCACCCCCCTCCCCTCTAGAACCCTCAGTTTGTTTTTCAGAGTCCATCGTATTGCAGATTTAAAAAATAAACTATACCTGTGTACTGAAGGAGACTGTATTAGGAGTTTAGAACATCAGAATAGGGTTCAGCTCTTCACTACCTTCTTCTTCCCAGGTTCAATGACTATTGGGAGTCAAGTATCCTCAGGTTTCCCCTTTTTCTCTTCTTAGGGGAAAGTCAACTTTGCTTCAGAGAGCCTACAATATTTCTCCACAATATTTATGTTCAATGACCACCTCTTCCTGGAGAACCTGCCCTGAGCTCTTGGCTGATGGATTTCCTCTTCTGTCTGAGCTCTAAGATACTTACAGTGTGCCCCTATTCTTCCCATGTCCTCCTCTAGTCTCTCTCTAGATAGCATATTATATTATATTAATAAATCTGGAAAATACATGTTAGTATATATATTTTCCAGCTTTATTAAGATGTACTTGATATATTTCAGATTTTTTTTTAAGCTGGGAAAGTACATGTGTGTAATATATATAATTATATATAAATTATGTAATATATTGTTTTCTATTATCTTATTAAGATATAACTGACATAAGGTGTACAATGTGTTGGTTTGAAATGCTTACATATTGTAAAATGATCTAACACCTCCGTCACATCACATAATTATCATTTCTTATTTGTGGTGAGAACACATAAGATTTACTCTCTTAGCAACTTTTTTTTTTTTAAGATTTACTTATTTGAGAGAGAAAGAGTGAGCAAGAGAGAGAGAGAGAGAGAGAAGGAGCGGGGGGGGGGGGCAGAGGGAGAGGGAGAAGCAGACTCCCCAGTGAGTGGGGACCCCAACATGGGGCTTGATCCCGGAACTCCAGAATCATGACCTGACCCAAAGGCAGACGCTTAACCAACTGAGCCACCCAGACGCCCTCTCTTAGCAACTTTCAAGTAGGTTGAATGTAAGTGTTGTTATTGATAAATATTATGCTGTATGTTAGATAGCCAGAATCAGTTCATCTTACAATTGGAAGTTTATACCCTTTGCCAACATTTCCCCATTCCCCAATCTCCAGCCAATGGTAACCATCATTCTACTCCCTGTTTCTAACAGTTCAGCATTTTTAATCTCCATAAGGAGGTGATATCATACAATATTTGTTCTTTTCTGTCTGACATTTCAAGTTTTATCCAAGTTGTCAAAAATGGCAGGATTTCCTTCCTTCTTAGAGCTGAAAAACATATATATATATAACACTGTATCTTCATCCATATTCATCCATTGATGAGCTGAGGTTGTTTATATATCTTCCTACAAAAATAATGTTTTCTTCTTTGCTGTAAATTATTTTGTAATTAGAATATAGAAATATATCTTTCAGGGAAAAATTCTGTTTGCAAAGGAGAGGGTTAGTCATGTGAGAGCAGGGATCCTCTGCAGAAGCCCAAGTCCCACAGAGAACAGGCTGTGGTAAGGGCAGGCAAAGGGGCGGAAACAGGGCTCCTTGTTTGGCCAGTGGAAGCAGGGAGGAGCCCAGGATAACCACCCAGCTCTCCAGGGAAGTCTGTGCCAGACTGAGCGCTCTCCACTCTGCCCAGAGTCATGCCAACCCAGGCTCTGCTGCTCATCCTGCTCCTCTGTGTACTGCTGCAGGCCCAGGGAGGGTACCGGAAACCGAAGATGATGCAGAGTAGGTGATGGACTAGGGGACAGGGAGGGGAAGGGGGCCAGGAAGGGCTGTGTCCTTTCTGAGGAGGACCTGGGAATTGGAACCTTTCAGCACATCCTGCTCAGACCACAGCACTATGAAGACTCTGGGTCCTCCCAAACCATGACCCTCTGACCCCATTACCCAGCCCTGGGAACAGTGATGGGGGTGGTGGGGGAACCTACGTCTTTTGATTCTCCATTCCAAATACCCAGACACAAACGGTACATAGAGTAGTGAAAGGTGCATCACGGGCTGAGAATCACATGGGGAAACCAAACAACTATTCTTAGATTTCTGCACACATGTGACACGTTACATCCAGAAATGTTGGTGGGAGTAGGTATAGAATGAAAGGACCATGGGAAAGCAAGTTTTGGGGTGTACAGGGTCAAGTCAAAATTATCATTGGAGGGACCAGGATGGAGGCAGTGGAAGGGAAATAGTGCAAGTGGTATTTTCTGGGAAGAAGCAAGGGCCCTGGAGAAAGTGACCATGACAGGAGAGGGGGGCAGAGTGGGAAGTCATCTTCCTCTCTGGACCCTGCAAATTCTGGAGAGTGGGGAGGATCTGCAGGATGTCTCAGTCTCTGCTGAGTTCTCAGAGTGTAGACTCTATGGTGGGGGGGGTACTTCACCAAGGCCATGACTAACATGGGAGACAGGGTCCTGGCTGCAGAGTATGCAGAGGACCCAGGAAGGCCAAGTATTGAGATCTATTGGGGGGAAATGGAGGGATATAAGATTTAAGATACTACCAATCACCAGGATTGAGTGAAGGGCAGAGAGTGAGTTCTCTGAAAGTCCAAGAGCATCATGAGTAGGACCTGGGTTCTGGAGTCTTTGAGGGAGGATTTGAAAGAAGAGCTCTCAAGGGATCTGGTTGCACTGACCCTGTTCCTGCTCCTTTTAGATCTAAAAGCCTGTGAGAAGAAGCCCTGCGTGGATCTTTGCAGCAGTCATTGTTCGTATTTTCTAGATTGTCCACGAGAAAATACCATATGCTGTTCAACCTACTGTGGGAATGTTTGCATGAGCCTCCAGTGAGTGGGTGAGGGGGCTGGGCTGTGCCTCCTGTTCCCCCAACCCTTTTTGCAGACCAAATCAGGAGGATCTCAGATCCCGGGCACCAGGATGCCAACAGGAATGCACCCTCCCCCGTCTGAACTGCTTGTTCCTGTCAAATAAACCAGAACAAATGTCCACAGACCTGCTCATTTTAGTCCCAGTGCTTGTGATCATCGAAGACCCAGTGCACACCCCAAAGTGGCCCCCTCTCTTGGTCCAGGTCTCTGATCTCTCTCCCCTTGTCATTCTTCTCTAGTCTCTCTCCCGTTGGCCCCCGCACCCTGCCAGGTCCCCAGGGCCCAGCCTCATTGTTGATCTGCTCACTGAACCAATACTCCCAGGGAGAAACTGCTCATGTATGGTATCTCCAATGCTAACCAGAACATTCCTCAGCCTGGGGTCAGAAGGGCCAAGTTAAACATGAGGCAGGTGGAGGCTAGACCCTGGCCACAGAGTAGGAGGTCCCCAGGGAGGCTTCTTCTTAAACTTGACCCACCCCCACCCCATTCTCCCCATTCTCCTCGTGAGGTTCAGATAACTGTCCTTTTACAATGAAGAAAACCAATCCGAGGGAAGTTAAGGCACATGCTCGAGGCAAAAGAGAGTGAGCGGTCATGATGTGGCTAGAGGAGGATGTTTGTCTGGACCTCCTGTTTGCTCACAGCTCCTCCATTATGGGGAGACCATGTGCATGGAAGTGAGTGTCCGCACTAACATCTCCCACCCCATCCACCATCAATATGGCCCCTCTTGGGATGGGGCCTGGAACGAGGTGCCAGGACCTGAGACTCCAGGGCCTTCCCTCAACTGAATAGTCCCCACCTTTCCCCAAGCCCCCTCCATAGGGTCTCATTCTCTCCCTTTTCTAATCCAGGGAGAAACCACATGGTGGGCAACAGGTGATTAAAAGTGATGCTACTAAGGATCAATTGGCTACTAAGGGTGGCTATGGGTGTTGCCCATGGTCTCAGGGAGAATCAGTGGACCTTAATCACTGAGGGACAGACTCCAGACCATTCTGTGCAAGCACAGCTGCTCTGAGGTGGTCCTGGGGCTAAATCCAGGGACTAGGTGCCCAGTGGGGACATGGAGTCAAGTGGGAAGAACCCCAGCAGGCAGGCAGGTGGGCCTTGCTGGAGGTAGGTGTGCAGTGTCACACTCCAGTCCAGTGTTTCCTGCTGGGCATCGGTGAGGGATTGTCCAGAGGAGGAAACCCGCCTCTCTCAGGCCAGAGCCTCTAGCCCACCTCAGAAGCATCCCAGGGCTCCTGGTATCAGAGGAGCTTCTCCACCTCTCCTCGGACCTGCCCTTGGACCAGAAGACCTTAGGAAAGAGATCATGATCAAGCAGCCCTTGGACCAGGAGACCTTAGGAAAGAGATCATGATCAAGCAGCCCTTGGACCAGGAGACCTTAGGAAAGAGATCATGATCAAGCAGCCCTTGGACCAGGAGACCTTAGGAAAGAGATCATGATCAAGCAGCCCTTGGACCAGGAGACCTTAGGAAAGAGATCATGATCAAGCAGTAGCACAGACATCATCAGACACAGGTGGGCGGTGAGAGCATGCTCTGCAGGAGCTCTGCCTTGGTGCTTCCTCACATAGCCTGACTCTGCAAGCATCTTCCCAGTGCTTGGCCATGCTCCAAACACCCTGGGAGAGACTATTAAGAGACAAGGCAAGGTTACCTGCCAGGGCCCACATAGGGAGTGACCTTCCACTTCTACAACCAGTGCTCCCTACCATGTGGGTACACCATGCTGCCGGCTGACCTATTCCTTACCACTGGCATGAGCACCTCGGACCATGAATTCTACTGGAAGCAGCTGGTCTTCTCCATTGTGATAACTGGTGTCCTGGCTGTGTTCCACAGAGCTCTCTGGACACTCACTCTACCCTGCCCCAGTGGACTCAGAGGCTACACCTAGAATGCTTTGACTAGAGGAGTGCTTGCCTGGCCAGCACTCCATGTTCTGTGCTATGGAACAGCTGTGTGCCCCTATGGTAGGTTGAGAGGAGGAATGGGAACCCCTGCAAGATATTGACTCTCATGGAGGCAGAGGAGGGAGCTAACGTAAATTATGCCATGATTTGGGTGTTCAAAAAGCCAAGTCCCAGCCTGCAGAGATTCGTTGATCAAGCTGGTCTGTCTATGACAAACACACGGCCTCACGGTTGTCGGGTTCCTACAGTAATTGTTCTCCTCTCATGCTCCAACCATGCTCCTAGCAAATTCTCTCTTCCCAACCCCTCTTCTTGATCATCAGAAGTAGCTCTCTCACATGTAGAGACTCAGCTCACAACTTCACTCTCTTATTCAGGATGAAGTCATCTCCTCGGCCCTGTGACATAATAGCGCTTGAAGAGACTTTGATCACTGAATATCCCACAGGACATCATGCTGCGCTTTCAGGTTATTTACATTGTGCCAACTGGCCATGGGGAAATAGTAGGTATCCTAAGTGCTTTACCATGTGCGTGCCAGAGTGTAGGAGATACACCTGATGATATCTCAGACTTTCCATATTGGTGAATTTCCAGAGATCTAGTGGCCTGGGGCTGATGGGGACAGTCTTTTGAGACAGGAGACAAGTTTCTGCACCTTGTATTGCTTACCGTTTAGAAAGACACAACGTGTGGTGGGCCTCTTTGGATTTTGCGGATAATATCGGCCACTTTTGGGCATTCTCTTTTCATCTATTTCCTTGGGGAATGGAAGGCTGCTAGTTTTGAGTGAGACTCAGATTACAAAAAGATTCTGCAGTAAGCCCAGGATGTGTTGAAAGTTGCCTGCCAGCTGGGTCTTAGCACCTAGCATATGCATTTTATTCAAAGTGTCTGTGGTAGATTAGGATGCTGATAGAACCATTGCATGTCCAAGTAGGAGAATCACAGAACACACACTTGGATTATTGAGGTCAGGCCTTGTCCTCTTCTGTTGATGGGTGCTTTCCATTTGAGAAGCAGCTCTCTACTTGCTAGTGGACCCTGGTAAAAGACTGCATGCCTGACCATGGGACATCGAGTCACTCTACAACTGGAATTTTCCATCAGAAGTTAGGAATTATCTGACCTATGAAGTCTTAAAATGGGATGTGCATAGAGTCCAGTCCATCATCAAATGCAAATGGTATAAATGAGAATGGGCCCAATCAGACCATTTCTTCTGGAAATGAGTAACCTATGCAATGAAGTGTTTGGGCCCTAAAGACCCACTGATATCGCCTCTTGCTTCATTCTTGCCCGTTGCCACTAAGTCTCCAAAGGACCTTCCCTTTCCATACCACCATGCATTCCCTAAGAAGTGGTGTCTTCCCATGTCTGCCTGTTTGCATCCCTCCTACTTTCCAATCCCTTCCTTACACTTTTTCAGGAACCAGAGATCTCATCTACCAGGTGTCAGCCTTGCCCTGGGTATTCCTCCATTCATTTTCAGACTTTCATTTTGTGAGGGTGATTTTACCTGTGTTCTATGCTAAGCCTTCTGCTCCTATCTCCTCATTTCCATACAGTATCTGCAGTCTGTGTGTGTATGTCTCTGCTGTTAACCTTAAAAATAAAACCATCAACTATTTTACCAGCAAAAATGGGTTAATTTGGGAATAGCAGAGAATTGCAATTCAGGGCAAACTAGCTTTGGCAGAACCATAGGCAAGTCCAGAGATCAAAGGAGAGGAATGCTCCTTTATAGAGTAAAATGGGAATTAACTGGGAGTTCCAAGTAGAATGGGCTTTTTATTGCCTGAGTTGTGATAGTCTCTTATTGGCTGGGCTATTGCCAGGGGAGGAGGAAAACCTTTCTGTCTCTTGCTGTAACCACAAAGTACTAAGTAGCTAAGTAAGGTGTGATCCATTTGCAAGGAACATGTCCTGTTGGGTCTGCAATTGAGGACGATTAGTATGGTGTGAGAGCTCCCCCTGGTGGCCTCCCAACTCCATTTCAGTGAGGTTTTCCCTTACGAATTTTCACCCTGAATCTCTAGGGACTCCAACAGTACTAATCCGAATCTGCTGGATTTGAGTGTTTTATATCTTTGCTCACAGATTGCTTGAAATTTGTAGCATTCGCTATTTCCTCACTAGACTGCGGCTATGAGTTATGGATTGATTTATTTGCTTTCCTTGTTGATCTGTATGGTTTTTTGTTTGTTTGTTTGTTTCTATTAGTTTCAGAGGTAGAATTTAGTGATTCATCAGTTGCATATAACACCCAGTCTAATTACATCAAGTGCCATCTTTAATGCCCATCACCCAGTTACTCCATCCCTCACCCACTTCCCCTCCAGCAACCCTCACTTTGTTTCCTAGAGTTCAATGTCTTATGGTTTGCCTCCCTCTCAATTTTCTTTTCTTTTTTTTTTTTTTAAGATTTTATTTATTTGAGAAAGAAAGCAAGAGAGAGAAGGAGAGAGAGAGAGAGAACAAGCGGGGGAGGGGCAGAAGGAGAGGGAGAGGCAGGCTCCCCACTGAGCAGGGACCCTGATGCAGGACTTGATCCCAGGATCCTGGGATCATGACCTGAGCCAGAGGCAGATGCTTAACCAACTGAGCCACCCAGGTGCCCTCAATTTTCATCTTATTTTATTTTTCCTTCCCTTCCCCTCTGTTCATCTGTCTTGTTTCTTAAAATCCACATATGAGCGAAATCCTATCCTTTATCTTCCTCTGACTGACTTATTTCACTTAGCATAATACCCTCTAATTCTATCCAGGTCATTGCAAATGGCAAGATTTCATTCTTTTTGATAGTTGAGTAATATTCCACTGTAAATACATACCACATCTTGTTTATCCATTCATCTGTTGATGGACATCTTGGGCTCTTTCTATATTTTGGCTATTGTGGACATTGCTGCTATAAATATTGAGGTGCATGCGCCCCTTCGAATCACTATGTTTGTATCCTTTGGATAAATACCTACTAGTGCGATTGCTGGGTCCTGAGAAAGTTCTACTTCTAACTTTTCGAGGAACCTCCATACTGTTTTCCAGAGTGGCTGCACCAGTTTGCATTCCCACCAATAGTATAAGAGGGTTCCCCTTTCTCCACATCCTAGCCAACATCTGTTGTTTCTTGAGTTGTTAATTTTAGCCATTCTGACTGGTATGAGGTGGTATCTCACTGTGGTTTTGATTTGTATTTCCCTGATGCTGAGTGATGTTGAGCATTTTTCATGTGTCTGTTGGCCATTTGTGTCTTCTGTGGAGAAATGCCTGTTCATGTCTTCTGCCCATTTCTTGAGTAGATTTTTTATTTGTTGGGTGTTGAGTGAGATAAGTTCTTTATAGATTTTGAATACTAGCCCTTTATCTGATATGTCATTTGCAGATATCTTCTCCCATTCCGTAGGTTGCCTTTTAGTTCTGTTGACTCTCTCCTTTGCTATGCAAAAGATTTTTTATCTTGATGAAGACCCAATAGTTCATTTTTGCTTTTGTTTCTCTTGGAGACATGTTTAGCAAGAAGTTGCTGTGGCCGAGGTCAAAGAGGTTGCTGCCTGTGTTGTCCTCTAGAATTTTGATAGATTCCTGTCTCACATTTAGGTCTTTCATCCATTTTGAGTCTATTTTTGTGTATGGTGTCAGGAAATGGTCCAGTTTCATTCTTCTGCATGTGGCTGTCCAATTCCCCCAACACCATTTGTTGAAGAGGCTGTATTTTTTCCATTGGATATTCTTTCCTGCTTTGTCAAAGATTAGTTGACCATAGAGTTGAGGGTTCATTTCTGGGTTCTCTATTCTGTTTTGTTGATCTATGTGTCTGTTTTTGTGCCAGTACCATACTGTCTTGATGATTACAGCTTTGTAATACAGCTTGAAGTCTGGAATCGTGATGCTTCCAGCTCTGGTTTTCTTTTTCAACATTAATTTGGCTATTCGGGGTCTTTCTGGTTCCATGCAAATTTTAGGATTGTTTGTTCCAGCTCTATGAAAAATGCTTATGGTACTGCCATACTGTTTTCTACAGAAGCTGCACCATTGTACATTCATTCCCATCAACACTGTACAAGGTCTCACATCTCCACATCCTTGTTAATACTTGTTTTTTTGTTTTGATAGTAGCCATCCTAATGGGTGTGAGATGGTATCTCATTGAAGTTTTGATTTGCATTTCCATAATGATTAGTAATGTGGAGCATATTTTCATGTGCTTGTTGGCCTTTTGCACATCTTCTCTGGAGAAATGTTTATTCCAGTCTTTGACTATTTTTAAATCTAGTTGTTTGTTTTTTTGATGTTGAGTTTTAGGAGCTGTGTCTATATTCTGGATATTAATTCTTTATCAGATGTATGGTTTACAAATATTTTCTCCCATTCCATGGGTAGTCTTTTTACTCTGTTGATAGTGTCTTTTGATGCACAAAATTTAAAAATTTTCAATTTGTTTATTTTTTCTTTTACCTGTGTCTCTCTTGCTGTATCCAAGAAATCACTGCTAAATCCAATGACACTAAGATTTTCCCTGGGTTTTCCTGTAAGAGTTTTGTAGTTTTAGGTCTTACATTTATGTCTTTGATCCATTCTGATTTGATTTTTATATGGTATTAGGTGAAGGTCCAATGTCATTCACTTGCAGCTGAATATGTAGTTTTCCTAGCACCATGTGTTGAAAACACTGTCCTTTCCCCATTGACTGGTCTTGGCAGATTTGTCAAAAAATCATTGACTCTACATTCAAAGGTTTATTTCTGGGCTCTTCATTCTATTCCATTGGATCCAGTATCACACTGTTTTAATCACTGAAGCTCTGTATTAAGCTTTGAAATCAAGAACTGTAAGCCCTCCAGCTTTATTCTTCTTTTTCAAGATTATTTTGGCTATTTGGAGTCCCTTTGGGATACCATACATATTTTAGTATGGGTTTTTCTATTTATGCAAAAACATCATTGGGATTTTAAAAGGGATTGCATTGAATCTGCAGATCACTTTAAGTAGTATTGACATCTTAATATTAATTCCTCCCATCTAAAAACATTGGATGTATTTCCATTTATTTATGTCTTCAATTTCTTTCAGCAATGTTTTGTAGTTTTCATTTTACAAGTCTTTCATCTCCTTGGTTAAGTTAATTCCTGAATGTTTTATTCTTTTTGATGATATCATAAATGGAAATTTTTTTCATAATCTCCTTTTCAGGTTGTTCGTTGTTAGTATATAGAAATGCACCTGATTTTTGTGTGTTGACTTTGTATCCTGCTACTTTTCTGAATTCATTTATTAGCTCTAGCAGATTTTTCTTTGTGTGAAATCTTTAGGATTCTCTACATATAAGATCCTATAATATGCATACAGAGCTAGGTTGACTTCTTTTTCAGTTTGGATGACTTTTATTTCTTTTCCTTTTCTAACTGTTCTAGCTAGAACTTCCAGTACTATGTTGAATAGAAGTGGTAAAAGCAGGCATCCTTCTCTTCTTCCTAATCTTAGAGGAAATGCTTTCTTTCACCA